AGTCCTTCAGAGGTTTGGTAGCGGAAATAATGGCATTTGACATCATCGTGGGTTCAAGCGAAATGGATACTAGTGGGTCTTGCGATAGCCTATTTAACCCCTGATCCCTCAAACTACTTCTATTAATTTAATTGGAATGGTTACTTTCCGTAATCAAGTTCTTTCAAGAAAGCTTAAACAGACGAGGTAGAACCCAACAACGCCTTTTTTAAAACCGTAAGGGTCGCGAGAAATATCCGAACCCATCCAAATTCCTCATCTGCTTTTTCATCTCACCATTAACTGATGAATTCAAATTTCTGACACTTTTTAACCGAACAACTTCTATGCAAACGAGATTTCTCCACGTCTTTACAAGATGTTGAGGCAACGTTAAACAGGACAGTGAAAGCGTCGGTCTTCCGTTTCGTTATAGGCCAATACTATTAAAACCGTTACATTTGTGCACACGCTATCGGAGCCAGGGCTTTGTGAACACAAGTGACGCAATACGTCGTAAAAGGTGCACCCTCATAATTTAAAAAGCAGTGATTGTTAGTGTGAAAAACACCCTAGTGGACTGGAATTCTCGCAACGATTTGGTCGAATTCACATTTGTATAGCGAAAAAAGACCAATGCTCCTCTAATTTGACCTTCATAATGCCCTTGAAATTCAAGCGAAAATGGATCTAGCTGTTTGGCTAGTTAAGGACATCAATATGCCTGGAGCAATGCAAACTTTTTTGTAATGGAGAACCTGACTAAGGCAAATTTTTAGGTGCTGGCGACCGTTTTAATCAGATTTATATATCTTTTTATTTCTTTCCTAGGTTTGCACTCACATGACCAGCAATTTTTGAGAGAAGTGCCTCACTACTTGGCTTTTAAAACCAAATCGAATCCTTGATTGTGACCTCTGAGGCAACGTTCACATAACTGAATCTCACATTTCCCAGTCCCTATGTTTCTAGAGTAAAGAAATTTTTTGACTATTTGCTAACGAAATTAACCATTTACTATGACTCTTTTGAGGTCTTCTTGACTGAAACCTAATAAGGGCTTTGTGACGATGACCCTTCATGAGAAGGCTGCGAAAAGCACGTACATCATAGAAGAAACTGCTTTAGCAGGTAAACAGAGGCGGATAATATTGGTGCACTAATCCGCTCAAACGGTCCAAGGATGAGTCCTCTGTCAAACTCATAGAGCAGCACTATCAACCAAGTTGATTTAGTTTATGCAGGCTCGGAGAGTTTGGTTTGAAAGACATCTCTAGCGTGCACTCCGTCGGCTAATGATGGTGCGTCTGCGTTCAGTGCTACTGTTAGAGTCTTTCCTTAAATAAGGCTCGCAAATAAGAACGTAAAAGTTGGAAATAGAGTCTTATAAGCACATTTAACTGTCCTGTGGTTTGTTGCAAATGAGCCCCTATTTAGAGGAATATACCTTTGAGGATGAAAATATTAATAGACATCTTAAAACCACATAGTCAAATATACTGAATAAATTTGCATCAAAAATGTCAAATTCAAGCTTAGTAAACTTGTAAAGCCACCTTAGGTAAACTCTTATTCCTTTACACTTGACAACAAGCACAGAAAAGTGTCTAAAGTTGTCACAGCATTCGAAAGTACAGGGATTAAAATTTTAGAGAGCTTCGTCTTTAGCATTTGGACATTGCGTCCTGCCCAGAACTTGTAGATATTTTTTGCTAATTTATTGGAAGTAATGCTTTCACACATCTCATGGCAGTACAGAAAATGATCCCCCCAAGCCTAGAAACAGGTCAGTTAATTCGGTAAAAGTGACTGGCAGAAAATTATGCATTAAATCCGAAAATTTTTTGCATAGGACCGTACCACCTTACTTCAGCGAAAAATATGGACTTTATCGTCTTGTTAGTCGACTATTGACCTGGGTGTCAGTAGTGCATGGGCATGATTTCATATTTCAAGATATGGGTGATACGTGGGAAATGCACCTAATCTTAGCCTACTGGTGCACCTTCTGATTTAGAATCACCAATGAATTCATGAGGCACAAGACGTGACAATCAACCGTTTTCTGCGAGTACTCATAAGTGCCTTTAAGCCTTACCACGCATTCATGCGACCCAGTGTATGACTCTACGCTAGTCTACGTGGCAGCCTGTGGATGCATGCCAAACATGCGAGCAGCTGGACCTACGGCGTAGTGCTGCAAAATTTCGGTAGGGCATGAGCCTTGGTTCGTATGTGGGGGCTTTTCTTTACCTTGAATCGCCGTTACTCTGGCCTATTTGAACCAAAGTCCTTCAATAAAAATGCATCATAGCTCAGACTGTCCACGTCATCGAAGCAGATAACGATTTTTTTGGATTTTGCAATTTAACAAATGAGGGAAAAGCCTGGCTTTCCAGACGCGGAGGAACCAGCGACTGTCACTAATACGACAGTGGAGAAACACTAAACTTCAGTAGGCAAGTATAAATTATACCTGCAAGTATTTTACATTAATTTTCATGTTTCGAAAATTTGCATCCATCACCATTAACAACCTTCCTTTTCGATTACTATAAAACAGAATTATGACCAATTTTTTCACCAGCCCTTGGTGCAATACGTGAGGGGTTTTTATCTCAAAGTTAACAGTACGCTTCATTTTTAAAGTGATTTGGCATGCACACCATGAATGCTTTGATGTATCGACAGAATTTCGTTGCTGCACTACCTATGGGCAGAAGCGGAATACCAGAATACTAAAAAAATGAGCTGTTGCAAATTTGTCATCTAAATCGCATCAAAATCTATGATAGAAATGCTTATTTGACGCATCCTAGTGAACTGAGCAAATGATGTGTGAGACAAGTTGATAAAGGGCGTGTATGTTCATTGTAATTTTAGCAGAATAATGTTCTCAATCTACGTGCGGGCTATACAGTACTCGGTATTTTTTTCACATTTTCGGTAATTTTGGCCTTTGTATCATCTTAGTGTGTTCAAAATACGTTATGTTCCACACAATGTTTGCATTTCATGAAGACTGGCGGAACCCTTGAAGGAAAATGGATGTTTCTATGGAAGTACACTAGTGATTCCATCTGCAAACCATAACAACTCGGACAAAAATTCCTGAGGCAAAATTACTTTTCTTGTACCTCGAATGTTAATTGAACTGAACTATTAACTTACTGCCAGACTTTCTGAGTCCAATTAAGTCACTTTACATTTCCCCTTTGCCGAGTGCGTGTTTATATTGGTCTCATAAACCGCAATTGCAATAAATCATGTGCTCTGGATAATTCAAGCACACGCTTACGTTGAGTTTACGATGTTTGGTAAACATGGCAAATGGGTCCACTGTCGTAATTCTATGTTAAAGCCTTTCCCATTTAATACATTGAAACTGTTTTCCTTTCATTTAACCTGCTTGAATGTGTTCAACTCTGTTTATATTTCTTTATAAGTGGATGCAAAACAAGTTCGAAAGTTCTGGCTAATCAGTTGCAAGAATTTTTACCGTGGTATCTCATTCTAAAATTTGAAAATTACTCAGCCTGTTAAACTGATAAATTCATTTAGACCTTAGGCTTGAGGTAGTTTATTCCGTTTTGGTCAATAAAGTACAAGGCAAAACCCATATGAATTTTACACAACTAAACATCGACTTCTATGAGCCCCAGCATGTTACGGTTAGATTTGGTTCAAATCGCAAGCTACAGCCAGAGGTCTCAGTGTTACACATTCCTTCCGATATTAGGATAGCAAATTACGTGCCAAATAATTTCACGCATAAAATCGCAAAACGTCCTATGCGCGCGTACTACGTTGCATGACATAAACATTGCGGTATGATTCAAATCAATAGTGCCATAATTACCAAGCAGGTTTCTTTATGCGTTCTGTAATAAATCTTGGAAACATCTAACTTATTTTTAGCTCAAGCTAGATCATTTCAATGAAATCATGTCACTATTTGGATAGGGCCTTCAAGTGAATGGTTTGTCGTTTTAGTGACGTACGAGGTGGGCAGATTGTTCCAGTGGGTTTGACACACACAATAGGCGTGCCTTCTCATTTATTACTTGCCTGACTTTTAGTTGTGCTGGTTTTAAACACACTCCTC